AATTTCATTTATAAGCTGGCTAATTTTTCTACGGTAATTTCACTTCCTCGTGCCATTCATTTCCAGTATTATGTTACTTCGATTGACTTGATTCCGTAAAAGAAATTCCTAATATGTTACTCATCTTTTTTGCTTAGTAATGTTTTACCTTTTATGAATTATTACAAACATAAATTTTTAGTGATTAATTTCCTTCTTTTAAAGCAAAATATAAGTACTTATCCTTGTTCATTTTTAAATCAAAATCCACTTTCATTACACCGTTCAAAAACGGACTTAGCATCGAAAAATAACAAATGTCAATGGTAGAAATGGAAGGAAAGTTGCAGAAGAATTTGTGATAATTCCCTTCCATATTATACACACTATGGAAAATCGTTCGGAAACCAAACTTTGTGTAAGGCTCTTATATCCTATTAATATTCCCTGAGAATATACTAAAAGCAGTTATAACAAATTATATATGAAGGAAGCATTTTGAGCATTTTTAATTATTCGTTTAAAAGGAATATTTATCAGTAATATTTCACGATTTGAATGATCGGAAATAATTGAATGCAATAGGAATCATTATTTTGGGAATTTAATAGATCATAATGATAAAGGAATTCAGATTCTTCCAAAATCTCTCTCGTTAGAAGTATCCCATAATTCATCACATTCTCCCTTGAAAGCCTATATAATTAGTTCGATCTCTTTGCGCTATCCGTAATAAGGTTTCCACTGCAATCCAATTTATTCTTAATGAAGCCTGGTGCTTATTCACTATGTGATTGGATGATTGCATTCGGATGTTCTTCCAATAACAGTTGAAATGAAATAATAATTTGTTGCACGCACTTTGTAAGCATTTGATTAAACAAAATTGCTTTGGGGTTAACATTCTGAACTCATTTCATAAAATAAATTGCTCTTGCAAAATGAGTTTAGCTAAAGACACATATTTTCGTTTTTTTTTTTTTTTTTTTGTAGAAAGGTATTAGTTTTTTTTAAACACAGAACAAAACTTTTAATCAAAATTAAGTGGTTTAATAATCAAAGGCAAATCTATACAAAAACTAAGTTGTCTTACTAGATTATATTTGGGGTATACAATCCGATACGGAAATATAAGACCACTATAATTTTGGAAATTATGAAATAAAGGTTTACCTATGGTGAAAGAGCACGAAATATATTGCAATATATTTCTTATAATTAGGTTTCAATAGTTTTGAATAATGCTATAAATGATTGAGATAACAAAGCCATTAGAATTATATGAAGTTACACTGTTCCCAAATTATAAGACCAATTGTCTTAAAACAGAAATTAAGTATAAAATTAAAAGGATATTGGCCCACCATTTATTCCGATACTCACTAATTCACTGTTTTTCAATTAAATGATCAAGCGCTGAAACTCAGCTTTAGAAAAAGTGTGCTATTCCTTTATAATGGCTACTTTTAGTTCATCAACAAATGAAAACCGTGTATTACTAGCATAAACTTTGATACATAACATATCACAAAGGATTTCCACTGAGAGCACAAGTCTCAATTTTCACTTGATCAAGGTAAGAAAACGTTATTTTTTTTCCTTTTAATAAAAATATTCCTGGGTCCATTTAGTTGCATTGAATGAGGTATACAGAACTGCTGAAAGTTCAAGTTACTACCATCGAAACATAATGGGTGTACGAGTGCTACGCGCTATGCACTGCTTGGCGCGATTTCTTAATCACGCCAAATAGCACTTCTTGTCAAGTGTCATGGAATATAAGATTGTGGCCTAGCTGTACCAAATCGTATGAAAAATAATTATAAACAACTGCTTTGAAATATATTTCAAATAAAGAATATATTGAAAATAGCCAATATCAATCAATAATTAACATAAATATAATGTAAATATAATAATTATATTTTATGTAATATACAATAATAACCAAATAATATAATATTAATTATATTGGTTAATACACAAAAATAACATGTAACACAATATAATAATACAAATTATCTTATCATGAAATATATAATAATCATATAATATAATAAAAGTTATATTATGTAAAAAATAATAATCATAGAATATGATATGATTGTTATATATAGTAATTGCATAATATAATTATACGTAAAATAATTATGAAAAAATATTAAAAATAATGAATACGAAATATCATTAATTTTTGATAATTTGCAGTATTCTAAAAACTACGAGTTTCTGTAATGAATTTCATCAAACACAAGGAATGTTTAAAAATGCATCATTTAAAAGTAAAATTAAGTGGAAATTCGCTATTTATAAGTAAAATAAGGCACAACCTTCATATTCTTTTAAAAAATATCCTGTACTCACCAAAGATATTAGAAACATCCCCATTCGAAAATAGCACAAAATACAACAGATGACTGAAATAGTAACTTGAAGAACAAATGCAATGTAAATAGTTAAATTTTCCAGGAAATCGAATTAAAATCGTCTGTGTGAAATTAATAATGTGGCCGAGAAAAAAACCAATAAGAATTAGCTCTAATATATATATTACCCCAATGGTAACCACATTATCCCATGATAAAAAACATCAAGGTAACCATATTGTAATAGTATTGACCATCTTGGCGAACATAGCAGTTTGGCGCGTAGAACTCGGATATCAAATAAGCACTCAACCATCTAGCAAAAGACCATCAGATAATCATATAGGTATGTTGTATGAAATTTAATTTTATAATTATTTTTAAATTATGCAATTTATCATGAGTAAGACTCCCAAAATCATTAACGTTTTCATCCCTTTTTTTTGGATTAAAGCATTCTTTCGGTTACTTCCTTAAGTCAACCCAACAATATTTATACTCATCGGGGTGGTCAAAGTTAAATTTATGTATTTTTATCACAAGATAGGATTTGTTTCTGATAATTGTTTGAAGGCATGGTACATTTTGTCCATCTCAGTTTCTCTCTTCGATGAAGGATGGTTTCAATAGCTCTAGGATTTCTTGTTTTTCATAAATGTTGTATCAGTATTTGATTTAAGTATCCAAACACGTTGAAAATGACCAAATTCAGTCAAGATAGATATTTTTGTTTTTTACTTTATTGAATAGAGCTACCTTTTGACTTTACGAAGCATACTTTGCTTTGTTTCTACACTACCTAGAGGCCAAGTTACAATCATTTTTATAAATTTAGAAAAACCGGAAGTGGGTTTTTAATCTACCAGAAGGGGGCATTTAAAATTGCTCAAAATCTATCCTGGCGAGTCTGATAACACCAAAATATTACGAATGTATTTCTATAAAACTTTTGAACCTGATATTTATGTTATTTTCTAGAGAATGTACTAAAATATTTCTTATTGTATAAATACTTTTTGAGTTATGGCTTGTTATTTAAATAATGGTCTCATAAAACATGTAACATTTCTTATAATGTTTACTCAATCAGCTCTAAAATTTTCAAATTTTAATAAAAAATTAAAATTTTAGTACATTTTCTAGATAAATGCATCTAATTTGTTTTCGTAATACTTTTACTAATATACGTTTATTTCTTTTTTCTCTAACTGCTTTGAAGTTTTTCAAAAATATTGCTAAAATTTCACTTATAATTGTGATTTTTGTAAAATTCAGGTAATTTATTTTAAATTTTGATAGTTAAATATAGTAATATTTATTGGTATTGAGTCCTAAAAGAGCATTTATAATGTTTTAGTATGCTATTTTGTTAAAAAGTACTCCGAACGTGTTCGGATACCTTAATACTTTTTTAAACAATGACTTTTTTTTGCTTAAACGTTTCTAAATTTCATTAGTAGAAGAACCTGCTCCAACTGATAGTCGAAAGAACTGTTGACATTGTCTTGTGCTGTTAAAATCTTTTCCTTCCAGGCATTTTTATAATGGTTGAATAATTTTTTCTAATTTTAACATTGCGGATGGCAGTTTTAAACCACGCTACGGAACAAAAATAAAATAAATTGTGACTTTCCATTTTTGAAGCAGAAAGCATGACCCGTAACCTTTATAGTTGAAATATGGGGATTCTATTGTCAGTGAAATCCCTTGTCAAAAATGGTAGAGTATGTGACTCAGAGTCATCCAAAATATAACAAGAAAACGAAAGCAATCCTTAAAAATGGCAAACAAAACTGTTAAATAGACGTACACATTTCAAGATACAAACAAACGAATAGCAAGAAAGGAATTCCTTAAAACTAATGTGCGTTGTACTATTGATTTTTGTGCAGCAAATTAAACTTAGTTGAGACCTTTCTTTGATTGTAGAAAGTTTATTAAAATTTAATTAGCTTAATATTTATATATATATAATTAGATATAATCTTTAAAAAATTGCATTCATAATTAACCTAATTTTGTAAAAGATTTAGTTTTCTAAGCAAACCTTTTTACTTAGGGAAATAAATATAAAGGCAAAATAAATACTCACTTAATGAAAGGGAGTTGTAATCAGTGTTTGAAAAAAGTCAGTAAAAACATCAGTATATCTAATCTATATATATAATCATGATAGATATGATTTTTTTTGTTTATAAATGTGACTGTTATTAGAGGTACTGTTATTTAAAAATATTTTTTTTTTATTCTTCAGTTGTAATTTTCTTACTTTGTGTGTTTACGTAACTCTATTTTCATAAATTATACTTATCTACAAATTCTTAAGCATCCATGACGATTAATTTTATGTTTAAGGTATGATACGATTCTGTAGGAATAATTTTCTAGTAATAGTTAGCATGAATAATAGTATCATAAATAATAATAATAAACTAGTAAAAATATATCAGTAATATGGCAGTAATCTAATCGTCAGTTTTGTCATGGATAGTTTAGTTGCAACATTTTCTAGACAAAAAGACTGAGCCTTTTCATCATTCAGTCATATATTTTGTATGCTTTCATCTAATATGTTGCGACAAACATACTTTTAATAAGTAAAATAAAAAAATTAAGTCAATGAGAACGAAAAAGAAATATTCTCAGAAATTAGGCCATCCCAGGTGGGACTCGAACCCACGACCCTTAGGGTTAGAAACCCAACGCGATATCCATTGCGCTACAAGGACACGAGAAACGATTTTCTATTCCATATTTTTGTTACTATGTACTTATATTTTAATTTAATTTATGAATTTATATTTGAAAACTGAATAAACTGTATTAACAACCCCTGCAAGTTTCGAAAAATGTATCTGAACTTGAATGGATAAAAATATAAAGTATTTTATTATCGATTGAAAATTTGATGAAGATATATATATATATATATAGGGAGAGAGGGAACTAATAGAGTAGGAATTGAAAAAAGCCTTATTTCATGTATTTTTTCATGTTACAAAAGCTTATTGTGGTAGTCGATTATCAGGACCAGGTAAGTGCTGCATACTTTTCTTTATACATTTATATATCTTTTCTTTGTTTAACGAATTTTTTGTGTTATATTATTATTTCCTGATTCAATATTTAATACAACTCAGTGCCGAACTAAAATTGTGGAGCTCATTTCATATGGGTGGATGGTGGCGTTACACTGGGTCCCAAATCATGTTGGAATCCCCGGCATAGAGAGAGGTGACCAAAAAGCCAAGCAGGGAGCCGAATCGACCCAACCGGAAGTCAACTTGATCCTCAGAAGAGCAAAGAGCATTACACCCGCGTGCATTGACAAATGTACTGCCGCGACTCAAAAAACCAAAATCTTTGGGAAACGGTGGCCACTGTTTGTCCTATCCCGAGGCACCTGGAAAGAGACGAGACTGTTTACCGCGCGCCTAATCACCAGACATGGATTTTTTGGAGTGTACTTCCTCTGACTGGGCCTGGCCACTGACGAGCCCTGCCCGTTCTGCGGCTTTGCCAGAATGTGGATGGCTACTACCAGCTCCAATGCTCTATACTCGCTGAATATCCAACTACGACGTCGTCGTCAGTCGGTACTCTGATGCTCGGCGTCAAATGGTCAAGAAGTCAAGCACGGAAATTGGATAAATAAGTACATTATTAAATATTTGGGTCAGACTGATTTTAATATTTTGAATTTCATTTTTTTAAGGAATGACTTTGAAATTATTTTATTTTAAATCGGAATAAAGCAGTTCTCTCTGTTTTAAGTTTAGTTCTGTGTTATAGTTTTAATTAAATTGGTTTTTATTCATAAAATATAATTAGTTAGCTAGACTTCCGATTCTGGCAGTAACTTTCACTTTAGATTAATAAATGTTTAAAATCAGTAAGCATTATTGGAAAATTTCTTTAGAACCATTATATGATATGAAATTTAACTATGAAAAATGGGAAATTATTTCTTAAAAATATACTTTTCCTTTCGAGAATGAACCAATTAAGTGTATTTTCGTCTCTGAAAACTTTTTATTCTTTTTTTTTTTAAAAAAAAAAGTGGTGGCGTGCAAGATAAATTGCTGTTTAAAAGTACATCTGAAAGAAAGTATAGGGAATTTACAACGGAAAATAAATTTAATTGGACTATACCCATGATAAATTGAATAATGATGCAGTTCTTCATTTTTTAATTGCATTCGTAGGCGTTTCTCCTAAACATGTCGATATTTCAAGAATTGATGAGTGGTTTAAGCCTCTCATCAGCAATTTTTAATTATTTTCTTATTTAAGACATGTAAAAGAAATACATTCCAGGCTTATTAGTATGTATGAAATACGATTTTGAGGGTAATAATATTAAGGTGTCTACCTACCTTCGAACTCCATTTTTTTATAACAACAATTTTTTGAAACAAATTGAGTGTTTTAGGAAGAGAAATAGAAAAAATATGTGAGTGTAGATATTAAATTTTAAATAAATATTGTAATTTTAGAAAAATTGGTTGTTTTCAATGAAATTTTACCAGATTTGTACTAAAACACGTAAAACTGTATAAAAAAATTCTAATACAATTATTTTAAGTTCCTTTATACGCAACATACATATTATGACGCTCTTCAAAATGAACCAAAATCTAAGGGAAATATTAAAATACAAAAAAATTACAGGCAATTATGCATTATAATATGAAGATTTTGATATTTTTTAAGCTTTTTCTGTATAAAAACTACCCTAAATGAAAAATTATTACACCTACAACAAAACTTATGGTCCACTTAATGAAAAATAGTATAAAAACATTCCCACAAAATTTTAAAGTATTATCTTGTTTGGTTCTTAAAATATCATGTTTCTGGTAAAGAGTTTCTTTCAAAACGTAATTTTGGGGAAAACGAATTTAAAATTTTATGTTACTGTAAAAAAGTATACATACTTTACAAAATTATCTAAAATTCACCAGGAGGATGTGTCACACCTTCCTTTTCTCCTTGGGGCAACCCTTTTTTCTTTCGGTGAGCTCGTGTTTTTTTCCCCCCTTTTAAATTTTGTGAGGGTAATGAATATCTTTGCGCCGTTTATCCGCCGATAGTCATACAATTTTAATACGCGCGCGTATCATATAGCTACCAACATTTAACCCCACCTTATTTATCACTTTTAATAAGCCTACAGCACCTTCATTAAATAGTAGAACTGCTATATAGGCTCCTAATTGCAAAGTTTGGTGTTCAAGAAAGCTTTGTTTAGGAACTATGCTCCACAGAACACCATTGAAACTCTCATTTGCATTCTGAGTCTGTCGATGTAAACACTTTTCTAAAAGTTTTTCATCGCATAGTTTTAGTGTGGTTTAACAATATTTATAATATTTTGTGGGAGTCCGGGGGCTTTGGCGGTGAATATTTTACCAAGTGCCTTTGCTTTTTGAAATGTGCACCAACTATCTGTTCATGTTGGGTGTTGGCCATGCATATGCTTTTCAGTACTAGAACAGCAGTGATAAAACGCAGCAATAAATGCGCTTTGGATGTTTGCTAAATTTTTTGAATACTGCGCGAATTGCTATTCCGTAATAATTTTTCAATTTACCAGTTAAATTGTCTGTTAATTTTCTCTTCCCTCCCAATCCTTTCCCTAACTTTTTTTACTTTCTTGAGATGACTCCCAACATTTTTCTTCACGTGACCAATACATTCTAGTTTATTAAATGTATTAGGAGCGTACATATTTTTTACGGATTCATATCTGTGAAAACAAAAAAAAATTGATGGAGCTAGAGTGGGTGAGTAGGGAATATGAGGTACAATCATCATGCTGTTGTTTGTCAAAAACCATCGAACCATTGAAACTGAGTGGGCTGGAGAACTGCCGTGAACGTTCTCCATGACATGTTCCTTGCCTCAGAAATTTGGACAATGGCCATTCAATCGTCTTCACAATTGCAAATTTGATCTTGACAATATTTTCGTCGTTTCCCGTCCTGTCAAAGAACACTCTGGACGTGGCATGCCTTCAGTTGAAATATAGCGAGATTTGAAAGGGGAAACCATTAGTATATACCTGTGTTTTTACCAATGAATAGTCATTAAAGATTAGTCGAAGCATCCCAAAGGTCTCGGTTGCAGGTTTCCCAACAAAAAACAAAATTGCACACACTATCTTGGTTCTATGAGATCGGCCATCTTACAATTGCAAAAGGATTGAAACAGGAAGGCACACAACAGAGCACCACAAGCAATTCACTTAACTCAAACTGACGCCAGATCACTATCGGCCGCCAAAGGCCCCCAACTAACACCACCTAACTGCACAATACATTTCTACAAAGTATGCGCGCACAACAGTTCGATTCCGGTAATTTTGGGTACCCCTTTGTATTATAGGACTTCTATATACTCTCCCCCAAAGGTATCATTAATGATCGAGTCTTTAACTCGAAAATTTTGCTGTCAGAAAAATGATCCGATATTATTAATACAACGTTCAATAATATTCAAAAGGTATCCCATTTTATTGCAAAATTCATTTTGATAAAAGTACGATTTTTTTATTGTCTGTAAAATATTTTAATCATGTAAGTGTCTGATTTTTAATTACTGACTCTACAAAGGTTACTTTACAAATGTTAAAGAAAAACATTGTATATTTTTAGTGTGCATTAGTTTAGATTTTAAGAATAAAAAATCAAAGGCATTGACGTTTATATTATTATACCATTTGAGCTTTATCATTGCTTTTATCTAAAAATGTGTTCTCAGATTTCGTTCTATCTAAATTCTCAGAGAACGACAAAATTAAAAAATTACAAGATTTTACTTTGTGAGTCTTCAGAGGAATTAGTATCGCTTAATAATATAATTGTTTTCTCAACTGTAAACTTCATGAATTGATTTCAGAAGTTAAAAAACGTTATATAAATATTATGATCATTCAATCCAAAATAAAAAAAATTCTTATAATTAATATTTGAAACTTAGGAGAAATTCTTAGCTCTGTAAGCTGTTTATTTAATATTTTACAAGCAAAAAATAGTGTTCTTAAGTAAAAAAAAAACTCTATAATGTCCATTTTATAGTATTTAAGTTTCTTTAAATTTTATGTTTATCTTATTCAAAAATATAGAATTAATTAAAAATCGATGCGATTTCCTTTTTTCAATTTCAATAATTTTGGAATAATATTGTATTTTCTGATGAACTATTTAAGATGATTATGAATGTCTTTTTTTATATATAACTATAACTGTTTAAAAGATACTCTTATTAAATAATCCACATATGAAAATTAAAACAGCAGTTTTCATATTTATTTTTCTTTAAAATTCATGTCCTTAAGAAATGTATAGATTCAAAAATACAAAATAAAAGGAAAACGTTCGTTTTTAATTTTTTCATCAAAATATTTTCTTTTACACAATATTTCAGCCGTAAGGAATCTATTCCAAACATTTTTACCCAGACGTTTAAAAATGTTTGAATAATTCCATTTTAAATGTTTGAATAATTCATAAAGAGTTGTTTTCCATTTTATCATCGAATATATTAACATAAAAAGAAACAAATACGTTAAAAGAGATATTTTGAAATGAGAATTCGTAAAAAAACGATGTTAGATGTTATTTGCTTAGATAAAAGTTTTATTTAGTTTTAATTTTGTACTCCTTATTTAATTTAGATTTCCATATTTCAATGCAAATGCGTGCATGCTTCATCAACTATAGAAAAG